ACATTTGCTCGTTATGACAAGTCCAGTTGAACAGTCAGAGTCCCTGGGAGACCCGACGAGCGCCGTTTAGAGGAGGATTGGCTGCGAGGCGACTGCGCTGGCGAGCCTTGTGACCTGGGATTTGAAGGCCAAGTCCTAGACCTCTGTGGCTCCATTATTCTTGGATGATGCCATGCTGACTCGCGAGGGCTGTGAAGTATCAGACATGGGCCTGAGCCTCAGGACTTCCAAGTGCTCTGGAATGCGCTGGCGGCACACTTTTCACATGGTTTTGGATGGTACAATATGATAGGCATAAAGGACAACAAAAAAGTGGGTGTATATAGAATAAAGTAAGGACATGTGTACCATGACAACAGCAACAGCAGCGACCACAGACAGGCATACACAGGCTCAAAACCAAATTTCTGTGCTATCTAGCCATGATGTTAATGACAACTTCCATGCATGCATGTGCATGCATGCATACATACATACATACATACATACATACGTACAAGCATACAAACATATATACATTTATACATACATATATGGGTGTGATGTCCAAACATGTATGTTAATATACGTATGTACATACATACATATCTATATATACATACACACGCACAAGTAGACAGTAACTAAACGGATAGACGACGACAAATTCACGAATACAGACAAAGTGTACAAACGAAACTATGTATCTATTTGTTTACATGCTTCATTTCCCTATCTTCCGATGTATGCATTCCGTGCATATATGCAAGGCACCCCGCGGCAGATCGTGCTTTGCTCGAGCCGTCCCTCTCCATGTCCTGGGAAAGAGGACTTAGCAAATTCAGCCTGCACAACCTGGAACGCAGGGTCCTCGATTGCATCGTCGGCATCCTGCAAGAGCCATTTGCTTGAAGCGGCAACTCTCTCTGGCTCGAAAGGGGTCGTTAAATGATGCCTTGGGGATTTTCTGCATCATTGCTTGCATCCCCACGTGCCGACTGCTCAAGCCTCAATCCTGGCCGGGAACCTGCTTCAACACAAGCTGGCACCTGACCCTCCGGCAGCTGGATCAAGCTCGGTGCCAAACCGCATGGACTGCATGCTTAACATCAAAGCCGAGCCCTGCACCTCATAGTCGACACTGCGCCGATGGAATCTCTCAGGCAACCGGTCGCTGACCTTTGCACCTGGGTTGCGACGGCGAGGATGCTCTTCGGTATTTCAGTTTGGCATGGGTTTGGGGCTTAGGGGGTGGATGTGCTGAAGCTGAAAGACATCTTCGTCGCTCATGAGGCATATAGGTGTCCTTTCAACATGGCATCGCTGGTGGCATCAGCCGTTTGGGCAGGAATCTGCACCGTCTAGTTGAAGGCCAGCTTGGGGTAAAGCGAAAAGCTGAGGCTCAAGGAGACAATCCATGCCAGCACGTGCACTTGCGGATCAATCGACATGCTCGCCGATTTGCCCCTCGCACACCTGTATCCTGTATCCTGTGCAAAACGTAGAGGTTGAGGATTTAGGGCTCGCCGGGGAGATCCTGTTCTTGCAACTAACAGACACTCACTAGTGCCAGTGATTCTGCTAGGGGTGGCCACCGATTCAAGGGTGGAAGAAATACGACCTCAGCAGTGGGCATGAGCACTAGAAGGCCGCGGCGGCGGAGCGTTGCCGAGACAGTGCAAAGCCAGAACACACGAACCTTGACTTGACACCCCAACTGCCCATCACCGCGTACCCTGGGCGAGGCACAGCACATCATAATGGCGGAGGAGAGAATGGAGATCACCAGAACTCGGCGTCGGCTCATGTGAAAAGATTCTTGTCTAGGCAACACTGCACAGGTACACCGTGACTGAATGCACCGGACGGATTCTCGCTGGCTTTCCGCAGGTTTGGGCAGACCCCGCACCACATGTGAAGATCAGAAACAACTCACATTCCCGGCCAAGGCCAGGACTGGCAGCAACGATGGCAATCGGCACAATGAAGTTGATGATGTTCCTCTGCATGTCCGGTTCCGTTCTCTCAAGGTACTGCCAAGGCTTCTCGCAGCTGAGAAGAAGAACACCCCCTCCTCCAGCTAAATGCCCCCTAAACTTAGACTTTATCTCGCTCAGGGCCAGTTACTGCACAAGTAAGGCCCACTCTCACGGGACCCTGGGCCGGCTAAGGGTAGGGCCTGGGGCTTGGGGATCATATGACGAATTGCTCCTCAAGCTTTCGCAGGGATCAGGCTGCCCAACAAGGACAAGGTAGTGGAACGCACGAATTGAGTTCACTACCTTCCCTTTCCCTCAGGGTTTACGGTTCTTTCAGGACCGCAAGACCTGCGTGAAGCAGGAGCAGCAAAAACGTAGGACTGCAGGCTGCAGCAACCCCAGGAAGGTAGGACTGTAGGGCCGTGTGGCCTGCCAAAAGAAGTGTTCAGAACAAAGTGCTGAGGAGTGGTAAGATTCAAAGTATAAAAACAAATGGTGGGCGAAAGCAGCTTTTGTGTTGGGGGCGGGTGGGGAGGCTTTAACAATAGCTGGAAGGGATTAGATGCTTAGAGCCTCGTCGATGTGACAACCATGAGACACCAAAGCCAACTGACGAGAAGCATGTGCTTGACGATGACACCAATAACGATGCGCAGAAGTAGCATGCCCCCTTACAGGACTTGAGCTGAAGGCTGACGCGCCCTTGCTTTTGCCTCTGGCTGGGACATGCTAGGACAAACCTACGATGAAGGGGCTGACGCCCTTATGTCGTCAAAGGCACGGCGGGGTGTAGGTTTGCACGGCTTTGGCCCTTGCCGGGTCGATCTCGTCCACCCTTGGGTTGCACGGCTTCACACTCGGGGGCAGCGTGGCCTAACTCAGTGCGATTCGGCTGAATTTTCGATAACAAACAACCTCTCGAACCTTTGTAAACACTACATGTCAGCATGGGGCAATACTGATTTCGTCGATTTCGTGTTGGGCTGACTCACTTTTGGAGTTCCACGGATTGCGGCATGCCACTGAGCTCTAACTGCACCCTCTTACCGCATGCTTTGGCGCAGCCAGCCGCTTCTGGCAGTGGACCGTACAAGCCTTCATGGTTCAGAAACATGCCGAGCTGCAAGTAAAGACAGTTCCAGCCGTTGCCCGGACACTCGGTGCCTGAGGGGCAGGCTCCCGACACTTCTGAAATAACAGAGAACACACGGCAATGATGGGCAATGTGCATGCAGAACTTCCACCTGTTTAGACTGTCTTCGTTGCTATGGATACTATCACTTACCTTCTCGTCAGTGATCACACGGTCACATGTGGGATGATTTGGGCTAAACCCTCCCGCCGGGTTGCCATCGAAAGCGGTGGCTCCAAGAAGCTGCAGGTTGTCGCAGAAAATCTGCGCCAACACCAGACATGACAGAGTGAATAGGCCGTGCCAACAATCAACATCAACACGTGTATTGTCGATGCGTGTGCTACAAGTAACGGTGCACATAGGCACCCTAGACTGACATGATCTGTGGCAGTGATGCTCATACGGTAGCATGACCGCAGTCGCTGGCTGCAGCTGCCCGACAGCTTCGGACGCACGGATGTCGCGTCGTGGACAATGTGCGGGAGGAAAAGACCTATTGCAATTTCTGCCTTTGTGCAGTAGGGGCAGCACTTGCAGCACCGGAGCAAGGCATTATTATCTGCAGCATGGCTCGGAATTAAGTGGCTCCGAATTGCTCGAGGCTCTACTAGAAATAGTGGAAAGCATGCCTAAAGTCTTCCTCGTGCCTTGCCAGCATAACACACATTGCGAGAGCAATCAGCCCACCTCTGTTGTGGGCTCCATGAGGCTGCAGCAGCCTCCTACCTGCCCAGCTGCCACGCCTTGCTGTCAAAAAATTCGACACCGGCCCACAAGCTTCGGATACCAGGACTCGAAATTGAATCGGGCAGCCGAACGGAAACAGCAACTGCGTGTCGTCTGGCATGAGAAGTCTGAAATGGGGATCTTCAGAGAACCGGGGATCGCTTCTTGGGCGAGGTAAATTCTAACAAAACAGGTTGTATTGAAGCTCCACTACAGGGTCACAGGTTGTTTGAAACTCCCAAATGCCAGCGGCAAAGGTGACTGTAAAATGCAGTGTTGCTCGTCCGGCGTCCACCTTGGAGACTCAGGCCCTTCACCTGCGCCTGAAGGCTTATTGCGGCAAGCCACCTTCCCTCTCGTTGCAGCATTTCCTCAGATGCTCCTATGCTCGGCCCTAGAAACTTCCATGTCACCCTGATCTATCTTTGGTATAGGCACAACACAGCCCCGAATGGGCAGCGGCATTTCTCTTGCACAGATATTGTGATCAAGGCGCAGCCTTTCGCCCAGGTAGGCAGCCTTCCACAGGCTCACATCGAAGCACTTCGATAAGCACACGCGCTCAAGGCAGGCGCGGCTTCAGGCACGCAGAAGGCACATTTGGTAATCAGTTTGTGGAGCAAGAGTATAACTTCTTAAGGCCAGGCAGCATAGCTATTGCCACCCATTTCCGTCTTGTAGGACACGGGAAGATACCTGAACAGACTGAGATGAATTGGCTCGATTCTGCTGCAGTACAGTACCGAGCGAATCTGTGGGAGAGCAATCACAAGCAGTGTGACTTGTCGGCTCAGTTTCCGACCAGTTCTGCATTGTGTAGAACCTGGCATCAAGAACGCTCTGAACGGAATGAGCACTCGGCTTGGGCTTGGAGCAACAAGCTTCGGCGGACCTTTCCGGCCAACAGGACAAGCACAGCAAATAAGTTACACATGTCTTGTTCGAGCTGCCTATGCTCCGGCTTCATGCCCGTGGGAGCCGAAATACTGGAGCTTAAAAGCCTCAACTTGGCCGAGCACCGTAACCTCAACCCCTCTCTAATTAGATCATTCACGATCCGGCCTGAGGCGTCCGTTCAAGCTGCCACGGACCTGACCGGAAGTCCCTACTGCTTTCTGTTTCCGCGGAATGCGCGTTGCACCGCATCACATGCTCAAATCCACCTTAGCGATCCCACGAAATCACTCACGTAGCCGAAGCAGCAGCTCTTCCGACCCATGGTTTAGAGAATTGTGTGCCAGCCTGTTTAGAGAGCCGTGAAGTGTTTGCTCCACACGATGCACGTGGCACCTCCAAGTCCACAGCACACCGCGTGGTCGTCTGTTCGCGGCAGGTGATGTTGGTGAACCTGGGCATGGTGAAGTCTTAGGATCAACGGGAGCTCAGGCGAACGTAGCGAACAGGAGCAACAAGCAGTTCGTAGTTCGTGCCAGAACGATCTTGCCAACAGTGTCGCCGGAACGGAATGCAGAAACGCTCGCCATCCTCGGCTGCTAAACCTTGCCAGGATACATCGGCTAAACCTTGCCAGGATACATCGAAATAGAGCAAGTGCCTTCACTCCAGCCCCCCGCTGCTGTCTCCAGCGTATATAGCAGCGCTCCACATCTTGGTGCAAGTGACAAGAAGATGCGTCGGTGGGTTTGGCCAATCGGGTGCTTCGGTGAGTGTACGTTGAGTTGACACGAGCCTGCGGAAGAACACACGGAAGACGGTGCATCAGCGAGACTCGTTGCAGCGGAGAAACATCACGAGCTCCAAGAAGCAGAGAGAGGACAGCCAGACCCGCATGATGGACTTGCGCCCCACTTTCCGCACCACCTGAAGAGGGCTCAGGGCTGCTTGCACCGAGAGATGGGTGCTGGCAGGGTGGCTCTTGATGATTGGCGACAAAGACCAGGGAGGGCCTGCTCTTCCTCGGGAGCTTGTAGCGCCATCTCCAGCCTCAAAGCACTGCTTTTACTTTTGGTGCCCGCCACCATCTGATTGGCTTCCATGGAGTAGTCTGGAAATGGCAGGAAACTACGCAGCGAACGGCCTCGAAACCCGTCCAGTCCCTGAATGTCTGGCCAGAGCTCATCAACAAAACTTACTATCGCATAGCAAAAGTGTTCCGAAGCGAACAACTCGTGGCTATCTCCACCTGCAGCTATGGCGGCAAATCGGTGGCGCGCATGGCTTCGGACAGTGTCAGGCCCGCATTTCTCAAGCTCTCGAACTTGTTCGGTGCATGAGACAGCGCCTTCAGGGTGGACTGTGGTGGGGGACTTCTTTTTGGCCTTTGAAAGATCTGCAGGGGCGTGCGTGCCTCTCAGAAACTTGTCTGTGAAAGCTAACCTCATCAGCATGAGAAAATCAAGTTCAAGCTCTAAGGACGCCAGCCCCAACCTCCACCTCACTCACAGAAGCTTGAGACCTCTTCCCTCTGACAATTCAATGCTTTTTGATGCTCCACGACCGTCGGCCTTCAGAATCCTCAGCATGGCAGGATGGTGCAGACTTGGGTCTTGGGCTCGTAGGTCCGGCGGGGTGGGGTTGAAGTTCAGACGGCTAGTCCCGGATTGTGTCCATAGGAGCTAAAGCAGCAGGAAATCCAATCCGTTCATGCATACCCAAAGGCTACGACTTATTCAAAAACCTGCTGCAGCAGAAGACAAATGCAAGCGGGCTACGCTGCGCTGCTGGCATTTCCGGGCACCTTCAAGGCCTCCACAAGCGCTCGCAGACTGACTGGGGTTTGATATACGGCTCTTTTTCTTCGCCTTTCAGACTTCCCTTTCGGACGGGCTGCCAGAATTCTTCAGACATCTTGCAAACATTGAACAGGTTCTCGATGAGGCGACGGGGCCCGGGGAGTGGGAAGAAGGCTCTGCAACAATAAGCCCGTGCTGCCGCAAGTCGGGTTCTCACTGTCACTGTCATGCCAGCACAGCTAGTTGTTTTGCGTTGTAACGAAGCCCAGCCCGATGCAGACTCTTGCTGGAAGCATGGGTCCATCCAAATTTGAGCACAACTTGCAGAAGGCCACCTATCAGCCACGATCCGAACCAGCAACGAACCTCCCGGATAAGAGGGTGTTTTCGGAGGATGGTGATGAGCTCGTCGCGCGCTGCAATCTTGCAAGGGTAGGAGTGGAAGGCTTCCGGCTGTTGGTAAACAGTTGGCGAAAGCCTTGAGCTCAGAGTGTTGGGGCACCTATAGGACGCTTTGATGGCCTCACAATCTTTGATGGGGAGAAACTGCATGCCACCCGTTCTGAGACATGCTGCTGCTTGAATGGGGGAGGCACAGCATAGTGTGGCCGATCACCACGACCACAGAGGAAATTGCGAGGCCGCAACGATAATAGCAGCCGGGATGCGAGCGTCTCTTCACTCTCCTCCTGCTCACTCGCCTAAATCAGCTTCTGGTTCTACAAAAACGAGAAAAGAAAGCAAGGTCTCACAATGCGCTTCTGGTTAGCATCTGGGATTGCCACACGAAGTGTCATCGAGAGGTGGAGCACAGAGGCACGATGGCATACGATGGGGGTGGATTCAGATGCGGAGCTCATGCGAAAAGCTGCAGAGGCGCAAGTTTGGCCTGGCCTACTTGGCACAAGTGTGGGAAGGGAAAACTCTGTTCTTGTTATATCCAAGCGGCTGAGAAGGAGGCCGTCGCCGAGACAGCCTGTGACTTGAAGGAGGCCGACGCCGAGACAACCTGTGACTTCCTGCGGCACGGCTGACAACCGTCACCAACATCTGCCATGACATGTGTTGCAGTTCGTGGTGATAGTGTGCAAACGCGCACACTGAAAAACAGCTCCTCAGCCAAATAACTTTTTTCAGCAGGCTTGCATGCAAGGACGCCTGGTAGCTTGCCACTCTTGCGCAAGTATCCCCTAAACGCTAGAATCCCAGAACCATGAACCCCAACACGCAGACCCTGAACCGAGAATCCTGCGCCATACAAAACGATGCACAGCAAATCATAGCAAAAGGCCCGGCCTGGTTCCAACCTCCATCACCTACGCCATTGGAATAACTGGGGCGGGACTTCTGCCGCTCGTGACATTCGTTGCAAACTTAGGGCGTGGTGTGTGGAATTCGTGTGTTTGGTACGGTGTTGGCTTGCCTCAAGCTCACCCCACGAAGGGTGGTATTGAGTGGTCCGTGCCGAGCTTCTTCGTGCAAAATGTCCGAGTGCGAGTGTGCTAATCTGCTAATCCATGTAACATCATCAGAGCAGAACCACAGGAAGGAACAGCGCATAATTACAATTATAAGTTTCACAACTTGCCAACCGATGCTTAATGGTTTACTGTCATGGCCATGTCTTCGGCCCGGGTCGTGCAAGTGAAACAAGATCGCTGGCAGCGGAACAACGGAACACGTGACATCACTGGGCATCTGGGTAAAAGCATACGCCGAACTGTCAGGTTGGATGCAGGGCTCCTGGCTGTCGCAGGAGGCAACCCTGGACTGCCTGCAATCCTCAAGAATCTTAATGGCAATCCACAGTAACCAGCTCCCCCCTACCCTTGCTGCTGCTGTTGCTGATTGCTGGTTCTGCTTCGGCTGCTTGCGACTTCTACTACAGCCTCTGTGACTTGACTACTGCTAATACCATCACGACGACTACCACTACCACTACCACTACCACTACCACTACCACTACCACTACCACTACCACTACCACTACGACTACCACTACGACTACCACTACCACTACCACTACCACTACCACTACCACTACCACCACCACCACCACCACCACCACCACGACCACGACCACGACCACGACCACGACCACCACCACCACCACCACCACCACCACCACCACGACTACTACTACTACTACTACTACTACTACTACTACTACTACTGCGACTCTGCTACTGCTACTGCTACTACTGCTACTACTACTACTGCTACGACTACCACCACTAACACTAACACTAACACTAACACTAACACTAACACTAACACTAACACTAACACGAACACGAACACAAACACGAACACGAACACGAACACGAACACGAACACGAACACCACCAACAATCATATCCATGATTCTATAAGTACTCATGATAGCATAGATAATGCTAATGATGATTCTAACTGCGCTGGTTGGAATAATACGCGGGTAGCAACAGAGCGGCAGCAAGACACATAAGAGCAGTAACCACACAAAGAGAAGGTGCTGTATCTGGCTTTACTATGCCCTCGTCACAACCTTGCCGCGCCCAACGCTGTGCAGATTTTCTTGCCATCCCTGCTAGGTACTAATGCTGACTGGCATTTTGATGTGCGTTACGATTGCGCTGCATAGCTTGCTACACCGGTGCTCAGCACGATTCCGCTGGAACGACAATCACCACCACCACCAGCATCATCATCGTCCCCGGATCCCCACATCTGGATCTGGAGCCACGGCTTGGCTGCTGCACAGTCGGCCCGGCACTCGTTGTAACCACTGGCACCTGCAAGGTTTCACGATGATAAGGCTTTAACTTGCTTTAACAACTTGCTGAACCAACGAAACTGTCTCATGAGTGGCAGGCTCGCAACTAGGATTTAAATCGACCTCCACAAGAAGAAATCTGTGGATTGCGAAAGGTCCACATGATGAAAGAGGTGCAGCCCAAGGCCCGCACGATGGGCGTGGATATGGTTGAACTGACCTTGCTGCCCAATGTAATATGCTTTGTGTGCGGCCCCGCCTCACTAATAGTGGGCAGAAACAGAAGCACAAGATGAAGCACCAGGGAAATGCTGAAATGTTGACTCGTTTGTGATCATGCTCGCATGAATGGAAAACGCAAGACTGAGACAACAAGTAAACTGCCACCCCATGAGTTGCAAACACAGTCACACCCCTGTTGTTTTCTCGGATTCGATCTTGAGCAAACATCAGGAGCTGCAATGCCTCTGCGCGACTAGGGGGGGCGGGGCGGGGGGGGCTGGGGGTGCTGGGGGGGGCTGAGGGGGCTGGGCTGGAAAGCTGAACGGACGGGGGGGTGGGGGGCGGGCTGAGGCCGGGCCGGGGTCTGGCCTCTTCGACCAAGTTTAGTACTGAGAGGCGTACCCGGGCGCGACATTTCGATCACAGAAACCTCTTTTCTGTTGTGCTTTTCTTGTGCTCGAAACGATCCGATTGTGCTTTTTTTTTTGTGCTTTTCTTGTGCTCCAAAAACCAAACGTGTTTGTATGTTTGTGCTTTTTTTTTGTGCTTTTCTTGTGCTCGAAACGCTCCGGCTGTTGTGCTTTTCTTGTGCTCGAAACGCTCCGATTGTGCTTTTTTTTTGTGCTTTTCTTGTGCTCCAAAAACCAAACGTGTTTGTATGTTTGTGCTTTTTTTTTGTGCTTTTCTTGTGCTCGAAACGCTCCGGCTGTTGTGCTTTTCTTGTGCTCGAAACGGTCCGATTGTGTTTTTGTTTTTTTTTGTGCTTTTCTTGTGCTCCAAAAACCAAACGTGTTTGTATGTTTGTGCTTTTTTTTGTGCTTTTCTTGTGCTCGAAACGCTCCGGCTGTTGTGCTTTTCTTGTGCTCGAAACGATCCGATTGTGCTTTTTTTTTTGTGCTTTTCTTGTGCTCCAAAAACCAAACATGTTTGTATGTTTGTACTTTTTTTTGTGCTTTTCTTGTGCTCGAAACGCTCCGGCTGTTGTGCTTTTCTTGTGCTCTGTCTGTACTCTTTCTGCAATCTAGGCAGGCCTCCGGGCTCGTTTCCGCAAACGTGTTTGCATGTTTGTGCTTTTTTTTTGTGCTTTTCTTGTGCTCGAAACGCTCCGATTGTGTTTTTTTTTTGTGCTTTTCTTGTGCTCCGAAAACCAAACGTGTTTGTATGTTTGTGCTTTTTTTTTGTGCTTTTCTTGTGCTCGAAACGCTCCGGCTGTTGTGCTTTTCTTGTGCTCGAAACGCTCCGATTGTGCTTTTTTTTTGTGCTTTTCTTGTGCTCCAAAAACCAAACGTGTTTGTATGTTTGTGCTTTTTTTTTGTGCTTTTCTTGTGCTCCAAAAACCAAACGTGTTTGTATGGTTGTGCTTTTTTGTGCTTTTCTTGTGCTCGAAACGCTCCGGCTGTTGTGCTTTTCTTGTGCTCGAAACGATCCGATTGTGCTTTTTTTGGTGCTTTTCTTGTGCTCCAAAAACCAAACGTGTTTGTATGTTTGTGCTTTTTTTTGTGCTCCTTGATTTCAAAACACATTGGCGCGCGGCAGTTCTGGTGCAAAATTGTCTCTGTCTGTTGTGCTTTTCTTGTGCTCGACGCGGTCCGATTGTGCTCTTTTTTGTGCTTTTCTGGTGCTAGTTTTGCTCTGTCTCTCTGGCGGCCGGGCCAGTCCAGTCCCCGCGTCCAGGCCGTCTGAAAGAAGGTCTCCGGGCCCAGGTTGCGATGGTAACGAAACCGTGGTTCCAAACCTCTCCGCTGGTAAGTTGCAGATAGCTCCTCCCAACCTCTTCGCCGGTCCGACCCCATCTCATAGCCCTAATCGCCAAACTATGCCAAACATATTTGGATTCAAAACACTGCCTGGCCCTGGAAAACCGAATGAGATCAAATTTCCTTGTGCTACTTTTGGCCTGTCTGTTTGATAATAAACCTATTGTTGAACTATTAGTGGGCCGGGGCCCCATCTAAAATATGCTCATGCAAACCTTTGCGCATCCTGTACACTGTCGGCAAGGAGAAATTGCCTGAACTTTCTGGTCACTGGCATTTCGAGGCAATAGCCCAATACCTCTGTGCATCTTGAGAACCAGGAAGGTGTCTCTTCTTATTGTCGAATCTCAAGACCGGCTGCTCATCCCTGAACCAGCAGCCGCCCATTCCAAAAATTCCGTCACTATGCTTTGCGGCCTTAGTCCAGAGGACACCTTGGAACAAGACCTGAAAGAACAACTTCTGGGACGTGGGCGATGCTGCCGTAGGAGCTCGTCAGCCCCCTGAGATGGCAATCTGGTACATAGACAACGAGGAGACTACAGAAAACTCTGGCTGGCAACGGTACGGTGTTCCACACTGTGTAGACTGCAACATCAGCCGGGATCATCAGCATCTCACTCGAGTCAGACTGCAGTTGAAGACTTTCTGCCTTCGGTCCAGATTGCACAACGCCGCTGCACTGCCGGTTGAGGGACCACAATACAAACTCCGGCTCCAGAACAACCACCAACGTGACCCGAGCGAGAAAGAAAGGTTGCCAATTTCAAAGCACACCGCGTAACAAACTCAACTCAAACTGCTCTGCTGGTGCCTCCAGCTCGGCGGAAGCTGCAGGCCGTCCTCGAAATGGCTCGTCTTTTTCGCATTCAAGATTGCGTTCCTGCAGTGCCTCTCGTCCCAACGTGTATCCCAGCTGTTTAAACACTCACTCAGCAAGCATCAGTGGCGCCCTACGGTGCGGATGCAACTTGCATCTCAAGCACTCAGGGCGTCTAGATTCCATCGGATGCCCGGTCTGCTGCGAGTCTCTCTGCAATCGATATCACACAGAGGTACTTCGATGACTGGCTAGTGTCTAGTGGACTAGTATGTACCTCAACAGCGAAGATAAAGTCGGTCCTGGCTCCAGGAAGTCGCCCGCACGGGGCTGCTGCAGCGCGCCGGCGTCAGCACCTCACAAGCCCGGGACTAAGCCTCGACAGAGCAAAAGCCGACGGCCGTGGGCACCTGCACTGTGCGCGCAGGAGAGCAGAGGCGCGGAGCGCCTCAGAGTTTGGCAAAGCCACAGAGCACGAGCAACTCACACGTGCAAACATAAAACTGCCTTCACACACATGCGTGCACATATCTCATGCATTTATTTCTTTATGTAATCAATCGTTTACTTGTTCATCGTACAAGAGGCACTGACGCGAGTGTGTATTCATGCATAGGCGTGTATGTATGGATGTCTGTATGTATGGCACATATGTATGTATGTACGTACATATACGTGGGTACGTGTGTATGTGTGCACGTATGCATATATCAAGTATCTATGCATCCATGTATGTATGTGCATACGTACCCATGCATGCATGCATGCATGGTGAGTATCTGTGAAGATATACATGTAGATCGGAAGATAGATAGACGGATAACCAGCGAGACAATTGGAGAGCTGATCGGCATATAGTTAGGTGTAGGTAGGTAGATAAATAGGACGAGGGGTAGACAGACAGGTACACACGTTGATCGATAGATGGACAGGTGGATAGGCAGATAGATAGGACAAATAGATAGGAATGGTCTTCGTATCTGGCCCTTGCTTCCATCTGTACCTTTTGCTTCAAGTTCAAAAACTTGGATCTCCCAATCTGCTTCAACACCCTGTGTCGGGAAGCTGAACAACAGAACCTGCCACTTTTGTAGCCCCTCCGGGCATGACAGGCGCCCCATGCAGGCGGGGCATGACAAGTTGAACTAGTCACCGTCCTGCCAATAGCAGCAGATCGCACAAACGCAGGCACAAAAATTCCCAAGACAGTATGCCTGGTTGAATGTTGACCATGTTAAACTGCCACGGCGCAGCTATGTGCTCGCTCTCGTAGTGCTCGCGATTTGCGGCTTCTCATCGAAAATGCGCGGGTTATGGTGACTGATAGGGTTTTGGTGCTTCTCTTGTCCGAGTGATTCGTATCATGGAACAGAAGGCTCCTTCTTGTACATGTCCTTTTCCAGCGGGGTGCACTTTGTGATCATTCCGTATGTTTTGTATGCACATGCTTTGTAGCTTGATCCTGTATTTGGGTTACTGTCCAAGGCCCCAAAAAGCTGCCAGGAAGCTGCCGCCAAAGCCGCAGTCAACGCTGTCAAAGGTGTCCGAGGTCCTGCAGGCTGCACACCGTCCATGGCGCAACCTGTGACCCGGCTCACGGCTGAGATCTGCAAATATGTAACCCGCCTGCTGCAGATACGACCCCTTGGACGCTATAACAAATCCACCTCCGTAATGCTTGTTCAAGCGAGGTAGAACCCCTTGAGCTCGAAGAGCACGCCTGTCTTCGGTGCCCGTCCTCTTCACTGCGTCGAGGCCGGTTCCAGGAACGGCTGCAGCGCGCCAGACCGATGCCTGAAACAGGATTCTGGCAGTGGCAGTAGCAAGGATTTCGCACAACACCTGCGTGCTGACTACATCTGAGCCACTGTGCCGAGCAAAGCCGCAATGCGCCACATGTGAGACAGCTATACAGGCGCCGCGACCCGCCCGTAACTGTCATTCAATGTTGAAGCTCAGGATGCAGAGACTTTTTGACGCCAATGTAATGGTCTCAGCTGGAACCTACGTAAGGGGGGCCGGTCATGCCTGATGTGACCGATGGTGTTGTCTAGTCAGTTATTGGCCCGCGATGATAGGATGGCATCAGCAACGCGACATGCCTGCGATGGCAAAGCATAGGCCGGAAATGCCATGGCTTTGCTTCTTATGCTGGCTTGGGTGGTTGGGTGGTACAGAGACTTTGCACGAGTAAGACTGGGTTCAGAGCTGTGAGGTTTGCGTGTTTTGGGTGAAGGCCTGCAGGCTTTGAGGAAGTTGAAATTGACTGAATTGCACCACTAAGTGCAAGCTTGAAGCCCGAGCCTAGACATGGCAGCAAGCCAATGAGAACCCTAGACCCCGCGACTTCCCCGTCCACTGCACATTGCACATCCAATGTACCTGCGTCACTACCTTACCTGTACCCGTCACGGTCGGTCTGGTCACGAAATGCGTGTTGACAACGTCCCAGTAACGGGATGAGGTCACTCGCTGCTGAGATTTAGTTGAATCAGCCCGAGCGATGTTAATCCTGGGCGCTTTGTCCCGACGTGCCCTGCACAGTGAAACACGATCGGCTCACGGTTTGCTCGAGATTAGCCAACTTCGCTCTTGCCATACTGTGGTCCTGCCGCTGCTCGTCCCATCGCTTCTGATACTCTTCCAGAGCTGCCGGCCCGGCTGTCCATTCTACAGCGCGGGCACCGCCACACTTCTTGTCCCCGAGACGGGAAGTTCATCCTGTTTCAGCAGTCCAGCCACGACGACGACTGTGTAGGACGTCTTCTTCATCTTGACGGCAGGTCCCGGAAGCTCAAACTTTCGCGGGTCAAGAACGAGGAACACCGGGTACGGAACAGGAAAGGTGTCAGAGATCTGGTAGTGGGCGGTGACGCGACGTCACCGGACCACATCGCCCTTAGCTTCCAAGATGTGTGCATCGAAGTGCACACGTTCTGACACCCGACACAGAAACAGAAGCACTGCCTGTGGAAACGGCTTTGCACACACGAGTTCCAACGCATGTGGAACCTTGAAAGTCCATACAAACGTAAGCCTGTCCGTCCGTTCTTCCAACTCCTTTCTCTGAGACCCTCAAGCTCAAAGAACATGAACGAGTCTGATCCAATGCTGAGGGTCCACCAGAATGATTTTGCTTCAGCCAGCTGCGACTAGATCTTGCAGGTGATCCAAGGCCTGGCGAAAGCAGGTGCAGTCACCACTCCATCCCAAGGATCCAACTGTCGCTCTGGGTCCGAATGGCCGTCAATAAACTTCCAGGTTGCTTAGGGACACGATGCAAGAAGCCCGCACCTCCTGCAGGTCCGCCGGAAGGGGCGCCTCCGCGCTGAAGAGGCGACCAGCTGCATCCTGTAAAGTGACCTGGCTCTGGGCTTTCGGGAGTTGGACCTCTCAGAATAGCCTTAGGATATTGGTCTCGTCCTTTCGTATTCTTTTGGGCAAGGCACGGTGTCTGGAATGGGGCTCCCTAAACTGTGCCGGGCCGAGGCACCTGTCGACAGTGGAGGAAAAGGCGGGAGCACCAAGATGGGTCGAAGCCTGAGAACACGCACGGAGGCTTACAAATACATATGCATACATCCATACATACGTCAGGCATGCATCGCAAAGACACATATGTACAGGTACGACAAACTCAGCACGGCTCCCTCTGACTTGTAAGGTTAAGCCACGCATTGCAATGGCAGAGGTGCTTCTAATGCGAATGGGCTCAGACACTAAATATCACCGTCAGGAATAGACACACTGCAATTCTAACACGAATTACGGAATGCTTTTCTTTGTCTTCTGCGAAGCAGCTGGCATCGAAGTGCTGCTCATGGTGATGATGTCGCTATCTCTTTTTCTACTCTGCATCGCCGGTTGTACTTGCAGTAGTCCACCACAACATGTCACTGAACGTCCGAAAACCACAAGGTTGGGAACCAGCAAGCAGCAACTAGTCAACAGACTAAAGTGACCGCCAACTCTTGAAAAAGGCTTGACCTGGTGCCAAGTGCCTCCGTATGTGCGGTCGCACAGGATCGGGCGCCCAATGCCCGCAAGGTGTGCTCGGATTTGGTGTGTCCGCCCGGTCTGCCTAGGTGACAGCTCGCATTATCTCGCATGTCAGGGCCCATCCCAATGTCATGGGTGAAAGCTCGAATGGCAGATGCTGCGGCCACGGCCTGCCATCAATTCGGGGGCGCTGGCTTGCTGCACAGCGAGGCACGGTTCTGCTTTCAGCAGCATCAGGGTCTGTAGGGGTGAAGTGAACGTACGCAGTACTTCGTACTCCGTCCTTGCCTCCGCAGCAAGCAGTGATGTTCAACAATGTCTCAACCCACAAGCGACGCTGGATCTTGGAACGCTTGCTGGCCTCCTTCCCTGCAGACGACCAGATGGTCTTCATGGCCTGGGCTGCAGGTTTCTCGGGCTTCAAAAACGTGAAAGCCCACATCGTAACATAGCACGAAGTCGACACTTTCATCCGGCTGCCCTGCTAGACTCTTGAGGCGAGCCGGTCCACCAAAAAGGTTCAAGGCGAACTTCCGAACTCCACATCCGGGAAGTCAAAGTTGCTCCAAAATGTTGGACTAGTGGCGGACTTTTCGGTCGATGGGCCGCTCACCAAAGGCGCCACCTGACGCTGCGGTGTGCATCGCGAGCAGACCCGAGTTCAAAGTGGTTGACTCTCTGAGAATAGCGCAGACCCTCTTGTGCGACACTTCAGAAAGGGTTTTCACGCGTTTGCCTCCAGACTCGTGCCCAATAAGCCTGAACTATGGCGGAAGAAAACACATCTGGTCAGGCGGATCACCCACGAAGAAAATGCTTGCTGCCTTCCAAGCCACGATGACACCCCGCACGCCTGCAGCTAATGGCTTCCCGGAGCACACGAGCAAATATTGCTTCACGACCTGCGGACTCGACAGGCCAGGCTTGGAGGCTTGGTGCAGTCTGCACCAAAACATATACCAGGATTCCCCTAAGCATATGGATAGCGATTGCAGCCCTGATTGCCGTATGCGCCCACGAAATTGCAGGAGCTGACGCCTGCTACAGATTGAATTGGTCGACATGCACGATGTCCTCCAGATCGAAACCAAAACGGAATGTTGCCTGGCACCGGAGACCTCGAAGTGATATAGTGAAAGCCTGCCTGCATCTCATTGATGTGTATGCGTGCGTGCGGATGTTTATGTCAATGTATGTTCACATGTTCACGCACACATGCACTCGCATGTATGTGCATGTATATAAGTATGAACCCACGCATTTATGTATATCAAGTATGTATGTGCGTATGTACGTCTATATCACATCTACATACATATGAAGATGTATGTGTGCATATCCGGGAACAGATGTATGTATACATATGTGTGTATATGTGTGTATATATATATATATGTTTAAGTGTGTGTATATATCTATATATATATATATATTAAGTATATTTATGTACACATACATATTTATATAGAGCATATGTATGTATATACATATACAGGTATGTGTGTGTGTGTGTGTGTGTGTGGGGGTGTGTATGTGTGTATGTATGTATGTATGTATGTATGTATGTATGTACAGTAAGCATCTCGGCTCTAGGATGCAGGTCCTGAGGACCAGAGAGCGGCGAAGGCCACCCTGGTGGCCGAGCTGCGCTCGAGGGGTGTCGTTCTCGGTGAGGTGGTTGCTCTCTTGGTTTTGGATAGGGGTGGGATTGAAACAACGCGTGGCTTCGGAACCTACCATGCCATGGCACCTTCTACCATGGACCTCTGCCCTCTGCATGGCACCAACAAAGTGCCACGGAAAGCACTATGGTGGAGACAACAAGATGGACATGAAAAGCAGATCTACGACCTGGCTATGGAATACCTCTGCCTGGAGCTTCGGTCCTTCCCTATTGGGCATCGCACTGACCTGCAGAACAGGTATGGCATACGGTGGCAACGAGAAGGATCATATGTGGTCTGGCAGCAAGCCTGGGCCTGGCTTGAGCCGGACCGGAAGCCGGAGTTCATTCGTCGAACGTTCCACATCAATGTCACTTTCGCTACCAGTGTGCTGGAAGGGGCTTATGCTGCTGACTTGTGCAATACAGTTTATCTTGATAGGATGGATTGAATATAGCATGACAGCGGCCCTCCTGAGAGCTCTCCATGGAGCCTATATGAGGGCACGACGAGGACAGCACCATGAAGATGACCACTTCCAGCAGGCGCTCGGGTTGCAACTTCTCCCTTACATCAGTGTGCTCATATGCCTCAGCCTGCTGGTTCGAGAGTGTGGCATGTATGCTGTGCTACAGGTGCGACTACCTGTGCACCCAGCTTCCCACACCATTTCGTGCCCCAGACACGTCATGACTGTGCATAGGTTGTTGCAGTGCTGTGTGTGCGTGGGCAGAGGGTTGATATCCACTATCCTGACAATTGTCCCTGCTCGACTTGCACAGTGGGCTCAAAGGGCGCAATCTGGAGCAATCCCGGGATACTGGGCAGGGTGGAACATGGAGAACGCCAATGCTACCCTCCGGGCGGACGACTCGAGTGGGGAAGACGAAACGGCACTGCCGGCAGACCCGGCCTCGGCACCCCGGGGCCCACCTGCTCCGACGCCAGTTCAGTTCCACTATGCGGAGCGCTCCCTGTCGCAGCAAATCTCCTCGGACATCGCGAACTCGCTCCGTACGCGGGGCCAATCCTCGATGGCGATCCTTACGGTGTGTGACGCCACGTTCCGCCATACGGGCAACGTGGGATTCATCAAGGTCCTGATCTCCAAGATGGAGCCGGTGGACATCTCCCACCCCTACACCTTGTACACCGGGGACTCAGTCGAGGAGACGAATGCCATCGAGGTCGCAGCGGAGTCGGTTGCAGCAGGGGAGACAGAGCTTGGAGGACCGACCGGGAACCCAGGCACGGCCAGTGGATCCTCGCGGATGTCTAACAGACGCATGGAGGCCGAGGGATCAAGTACCAGGAGCTCGCGAGACGGTGGAGGTGACAACAACAACACCAACAACATGCAGAACCCGATGCCAAAGCCCAAAGCCAACCGCAAGTCCTGGCCTCATTTGCTCTTATGGTCACTGCTCCGACACACCATGGCTAGCTCACCGAAGCCCTGCCCACAGCTCTGCCCACATTGCCCCACAGGCGCAGACATGAGGACAGTACATAGCCTGACCGAGCGGACTGACAGCGATAGGTTTGTCTCTTGCTCTCCGAGTGAAGTCCGGCCTGTGGAGGGGCCGACAGGGTCAACAGGCCTGACATGTAGCTGTGACCCAATGACCTGGAGAATGCGAGACTCTTCCGAAGCGGAATGGCCAAAAGACACACAGCTGCAGCGCGAGGACAATTATGCCACCCCAATCTCAAACCTACGGGCAACCACATGGCATGGGAGGTACAGATGGAGGCAGCACTTGAGTACTTGGGTGTGGGCCTTATCCTCCTCGGGCAGTACCTCAAAGTTGGTAGGAAGGCTGTACCCCTTGATGATCCAGGTCTCCTACCTGCTCGTCACGGTGTACCTGCTGGGTGACCTTCTCAGATACCACATGGTTTGCCAATTGAGCAGTGCACCCCGTACCATGGACACACCAAGGTCTACTGGTCGGGGCTCGACAAGCTCACCCCACCATTGCACCCATCCTGGTGCTCAGGGCCAGAAACTCAGACAACCAAAGAGCCGCCCAGGTCCCAAGTCCTGGGGTCGTTGTGGATACAGCATCAATCAGTACATGTGGCACAAGATGCTTCTCTTTTACGTGATGACACACACTTGCAAAGCCATGCACACAACGACTGATGCGAGGGTTTGGTTCCCAGAGCACCACTGGAACCATGAAGCCACACAACAGACCACAGGGGTCCATGCATGGGCGAAGCCTGGTGTCAGCAGCCACGCAGCCCACTTACACCCTCAAGGAGTTCACAAAAAGAAAGCGCTCAACCAAGCATACCGCAGAGCACTTCATGATCCCACTGGACACACATGGTACAGGGGACAACGTATGCATCACAGTCGATTCTCTCCAGGTGAACGACCACTTGGTCACCGAGACAAACCCAGGCAGATCCACAGCGGCAGGGCACCACGCCGTTTGAGGATAGTGACTTGGACCACGGGAGGCCTCAGCAGTGACAAGTACACAGAGATTCTGGAATGGCTCGTGCAAGAAGCAGGCACAACACACCCGGTCGATGTCATGTTTCTGCAGGAGACGTGTTGGAAACAGGACATGGAGTACGTCACGACACCGGACAGCAAAACGGCCGTCTGCTACCAGGTGATCCACTCAGCGGGACCAGACCGTACGGGCATTATGTGCCTCATACGAGCGGGCCTTCTACCGAACTCCCACATTCGACATGTCAGCTGCATACCAGGCCGACTCCTCCATGTCAGACTGCTCTTCGAGGCACCGCTGGATCTACTCGGAATATACCAATATTCCTGGAACCCTGGGAAGGTGTCCTTGGAGGGTCACAAGGTGACGGCGCTGCTGAAGCAGAGGCAGAAAATATGGAAGTCTATCGAGCAATGGCTTCGGACAATCCCTAGGCGCCATGGTTGTTTGCTACTAGGAGATGTGAACACCCCAGCCACACAGGAGTCCAATATATGCGGGCCAGGTGTGGTACCGCAACAAGTCCAACAGCGAGATCAAGAGGCCTTCCAAGACATTCTCCGGCTTCATCAGTGCTGCCTCCTCAACACCTGGACAGGGTCTGGTATGACCCAACGCACATACATCCCACCGGGAGAGCAGGGATCCCAGAATGGCACCCAGATTGACTTTGTGATTGCTAGAGATGCACTGGCAGACGACATTGCCAAACGTGCACTCCCTCTACAAACACCATTTGAACCGACCAGTGGTTGCAGGCATCGCCCAGTACAAGCCTCCATTCCGATGCCAAGGCTACCGACCAGACCCATAGAAACACAGCAGCGACAGCGACCTGCTCAGGTCCACAAGGCCATGGGAGATCCTCGGAAGCAGGCCCTCTTCAGATCTATTGTGACACCAGCCTTTGCAACTGCCAGCCCGTCAGCTGATCTCGACAACATCTTGCAACAAGGCTGGCAACAGACACAACAACTTCTGAAGCACCCAGCGGGTGTAAATGGGCGGGACTCCGAGCTGGAATCGCACAACCTAGTTGTGAGAGATACCATCAAGACCATGTGGGCTGTCCGGGCAGAGCTGCGGACACTGTCAGGAATTGCCAAAGATCCAGATGAAGGCCATCACCTCAGCACCCTATGGAAGGCCTGGGCTACTGCTGCTAAACTTCAGGGTATTACCCGAAATCTACGGCGAGAATGCAGGCGACGGAAAACCCTACGCATCCAGGAGGTGGTCCAGTCTGATAACATTCACCAAGCAGCCAAGAGATTTGCCCCGAAACAGGTGCGACGCCGAATGCAGCTTCGTTCAGAAGAAGGCCGCATACAATCACAGGAGGCAGAGTTTGAGCAGATCACCAAATACTTCTCGACACTGTTTGCAGGCCCAACGAGCACCCCCGCTGAGCTCTCGGAGGACATATATTTCCACGAGCAGGAAATCCAACAGGCTCTTGGGCGACTTGCCGCGGGTAAAGCCATGCCCACCACTAGTGCCCATGCAGCTCTGTGGAAGGCCGTCGCGCATCAGGCGGTACCAGCGCTACAACAACAACTCAATTGCTGCCTCCAACGAGGCACCTGCTCGCTGCCGGAAAAGTTCAACATTTCTGAACTAATCCTGTTGCCCAAGCCGGGCAAGAACCTATGTTCTCCTGACCAGCTGCGGCCCATCAACCTCCTCCCTCTTCAAGCCAAGGTCTTGGGGGCAACGATCGCAGCCAGACTGCAACCCTACGCGGTGGAGTATCTCAGGGAGGTGCCACAGTTTGCCTACGTGGGGGGCAGATCGCTGAGCATGGCCTTGGAAAGAGTGGCAAGCCACTGTGCGGTGATTCGCAAACTCCTGGGTGACCAGGCATCCAACCTACATGCCAGACGTGCTGGCAGGAAGGCAGCTCAGGTCTGTGGTGGAGTGCACCTCTCATTAGATATATCCAAAGCGTATGACCGGGTACCATGGTGTGACCTAATCTTGGCTCTGCGGGAGGCCCTGGTCCCAGAGTGCCTCATAGAGCTGATCCTACTGATCCACCAGCAGGCAAAGGTGAGAATTACCCATGGTGATAGTAAAGCTTATGTACAACTGGGCCAAGGACTTCGCCAAGGATGTGGGCTCGCGCCCATACTCTGGGCGATCTACTCCAGCTGGCTACTCAAACGACTCCACAGACCTCCTTTGCTTGACATCACTGCCTCAAACACAACATACGCTGACGACTTCCACTTTGGCTGGACCATCCACTCAGGCAGAGACATGGAGGAATCCTACAATGCCATGAAGCATATCCTGACAGGCCTGAAGGACCATGGTGTGCTTGTCAGCATTGAAAAGACCATTGCTCTTATTGAGCTGCAAGGGCCAGGGGCGGCAGCTTGTCTCGCACGATATCTGGTGGAACGACCCCGACACCAGGGCAAGTTCCTCAAATTCATGATACATGGCTCCCCGGAATACGTAAAGGTCGTGGCCAACCACACCTACTTAGGCATGATCATTAGCTGCCAATAGCTTCAAGAAGCACGACCAGCAGACGGCGAAGCACAGGATGGACCTGGCCAAAGGGGCCTTTGCCAGGCTCGCCACTGTGCTCAAATGCAGGGATGTCTCCGTGAAACTGAGACTCATGCTCTGGCAGGGCACGATCCTGCCAACCCTTCTACATGGCCTGGACTGCACAGGACTTCCCCAACACGAGGCCTCACACATGATGATCATGTTCTTCCAACAAGCGCGAGCGATCGCCAAGTCGTACAGCATGTTCACACATGAATCCCACCAGGCCCTGGCCAACAGACTTCAGCTACCTGACCCACTGCGACGTCTACTCCAGGCCCTGGACCGACGTGCAACGATGGACACACAATGCCCGGCTGAACTCCGACCAGGAGACGCTCAACTCCAGTGGCGAGCCTTTGTGAGGGGCCAAATTTTGGCAGCTAGAGATGCCTGTGGAGCTGGGCCCCACACCCAGTCCAAACCACACCACAGTCTGCAGCTAGTTGATGCTATCCTTCCTGAACAATTCCCTTGTGAAGTTTGTGGAGTGTCGTATGCCACGCAGGCGGCCCTCAAAAGACACATGTTTCGCCAACACATGGACGAGGAAACCCAGCTTCAGACTGTGACCGAAAACAGACGTATGCGAAGGGATGATGCCATGATACATGCCAAGGATGGCATGCCCAAATGTAGACATTGTGGTCACGAGTTCACTACCTGGCCGGCGTTCTTTTATCACATCAGAGCAAAAGGTTGTGACGCCTTACAGAACCCACAAGATACGGTGCAGGAACATACAGGGGACCTCATCCCTAGTGAAGCGATCGTAGAGGACCCGGAGGTGCTGCAGCTCGCCAGTGCTTGTTCATGGAAAGATCTTGCCTTGCACCCAAAGGTCCGCAGCAAACACCAGCATTGCCCGGAGTGCAACCTCTGGACTGTGAAGCATCAGTACGTGAAAAGACACATGCTCCTCAAGCACCCTGCTCAAACTGCCTTGATCGAGCGTAGTGAGGAACTCATCACACAAAGTGGACTCAGCCTCACCAACCCTTGTCAGTACTGTGGGCTTGCATACCAGAGGAAATCAGCGCATCTCAAAGCTTGCATTGGCATCTTCAACGGGGTTTACCTTCACCTTAGGATTGCCAGAGGCCGACCACTGCAGGACCTCATCGTCAGAGAGGGGAACGATGGAGGTGGAATCGGATGCCGGCCAGCAGATGAAGGACGCCACCAGGGAGCTGGAGTTGATGAGGTCCCTTGCGCCCCCAGAAGTGACCAACCAGCAGAGCTCCGCACCGAGCTCAGCACCAAGCACAGGGACAACAGCGGATCCATCGAACAGCAATCCGGACTCTTGGCTTGGCGAGCCCCTCCCCAAGTACCACAAGGACGGCAACAAGGGTCAAGACGGCCGAGGCAAAGGAGGACAGGAAAAGAGGGGCAGGGAACACGAGACCTTCGGCAACTCCTGGCAGGGACATCGACGAGGACAGTGGGAGAGCTCACCACCGAAGGGCAAGAGCAAGGGAAAAGGCAAGAGCAAACGGGCGACCTACCCACCCCACGATCCATGGGGCGACGAAGAGATGCCGGAGGAATACAAGGCCATGTTCAACATGATGGCCAACATGCTCCTCCGCCACGAAGCCCAATTCCTGATCCAGAAACAGGACACAGCCTTCGTGATATTCATGCAGACCCATTTGGAGAGCAGTATTGCCAGGACCACCTACACATTGGCACAGACGTGGCACGAGACGAAGGCAAAGGAACCGGAGAAGCTCACGTCTCCGATGAGGGTCCTGCTATTCCAACATTTCATCCAGACAGTGCTGGAAAAGTTCGAGAAGATGGTGGCCAGCCCATCGGCGAGATCTACGGCGGCTTCACTGGGATGGATGAATGGCGAAGGCACCATGGTCAATGGAGTCAAGTGGGATGCCACCAACAAAACCCACTCCCTGGACCCCTTGGTCACACCCATCAAGGTGGAGGAGACAAGGCAAGCTCTGGAGGAAATCCTGATCAAATGCAAGAAGGAACTGGTGGTGGCAAGGTACCACGCCACCCGGAAGTTGGCGTCGGACTACCTATCCCCGACGTTGACCATGATGCTGGAGATCGGGAACAGAGTGGAGGCAGCACATGCGGTATGGAAGCGACTACATCAGCTGGAGCGATCGGCATGTTGGGTAGCAGCGGGCACGTTCCTACGAGCAGAAACAATGCACAGGAGTGCACTGGGCCAGAAACTGGCAACCCTCACAAAGTGAGGCAGCTCAAACTGGGCAACCGGGGGAACTATTGCTACTCCAACGCGACGTTGAAGTGCATGATGTATGTGGCTGCATTCCAAGGGGGCCTGGACGCTTTGTTTCAAGGGGCTATGCTCAAGTTTCTACGGGGTCTTCTTGAGCAACAGGGGACCACACACTTGTGGAGCCAACCATTTTGGCTGGCAGCAATGCGCCATTGGCGCAATCCCGGGAGGCAGCATGACAGTGCTGAGTTCATGAGCCACTTCCTGCATGGCCACCCGCATACAGCAGACAAACTGACCCTACATTGGCAAGCCAGAGCAGAGGGGGAGAATGGGTACGTGACTGTTGACCAGGGCAGCTCCGCACCCCTCTTGATTCAGCCACCTGAGCGAGTAGCTGCTGATGTCGAGTACAGTACAGGCATGCAAGAGCTAATCCAGGAGTGGCATAGACAGGACTATGCACATGCAGCTGTCACACCACCGGAAATTTTGGTGCTTCAGCTGGGGCGATTTGATTTTCAGGTTGCTGGCGATCGTAGCATTAAGCGTAGATATGCTGTGATTCCGGAGTTGGAGCTGATGTTGCCTTGCTTTGTGGAGGGCCTGCAAACCTGTGAAGTACAGTTCCGCCTGCGGGCAGCCTTGGTCCACACGGGCCTTTCTTTGCACCATGGCCATTACACTGTCATTATGTTTGATGAAGCCAGTGATCAACATGTGTGGATTGCTGATGATAATAGGCCAGCCGACAGAGTTTCTATTGATACTGTTGCTAACCATTATCGTGATATTTACTTACTGTTCTATACCAAGAAAGTCGGCAGTGCAAGAGCTCTGCTTGAGGGCACTAGTGCCGGGAGCTAAGCTCCATGAGGGTGGCGAGGGCTAGAAAGCCTGTTCGCAACTCGTTCGCCGAAGCTTGTACTTCTGCAACGTCGAAAGTGAAAAAAAAAAGTATGTACAGTATGTATGTACACATGTACATCTGCATGTGTGTGTACATGCATACATACATACATAACATACATACGTACAGACAGACAGACAGACATACAGACAGAGGTGTATGCCTTTACATCAAAAGCTGCAAATGTATGTATCTGTGCACGAAGCCACTTGCACATACACAGCATGGACATGTGTGTGAACAAGAACTACTTCTGTTTCCTCTGCTGCTGCTGCTACTACTACTACTACCACCACCACCACCTACTGCTGCTGGGGCTGCTGCCGCTGCCGAACTATAACAGGCGAAGAGTAAAGATATAGCGACAAAGCATTAACAACCGGAACAACAATGCTACTCTTATATGCCACTAACATAGTCGCTAGTGCAACACTGCCGCCCTTTGATTGAGCCACTTGTCCGAAGGAGAAATGACTTGCATCTCACCACTTGGTCATCTGTGACTTTTTACCGCACAAGCCAAGACCACTACGCACTGCACTAAGTCACCGCCGCAGTTATACCAGTGGTCATAACAGTCGAAGGTCTTTTGCCTAATGATGGTTGTCACAGCAAGAAAGACAATAGTGGAAGCAATGACTGAAAAAGGAATGGTGAAGGTCGTCATGTCAATGATCCCTTCGACAGCCTTGCGTGCGGCGAAGAGAAGCTGGTACCAGCTGGCCACTCCTCTATCTGAAGCTTGGAGGGGCTTGGGCTCTCGCAACTCGGACTAACCAGGCGAATCTATCAAAGGTTCCAATCGAAGGCTCAGGAGTTTGGAGCTGCATGTAGGGAAATCCCCAACGAATCCCAAGCGAACCCTGGAATCCACAACGTTTTTTTCCCAAGACTTTGCCACTGCGGCGCCTGATCCACTCGGAGCCATGGCCACAGGCAGCACACCAGAGGTTGGTGCATCCAGACGGGAGAGCCTGGCGTTGATGGCTGAGATTTTTTCTCCATCCCAGAATCCTGACCCAGGTGCCCTCATGCATGTCTCCGATCCAGAATTCCGAAAGGCAGCGGGGCATCCCACCGTTGCTGTTCATTTCCCGGACTCTGCACTGCTCTCAGATGGCATCTCCATCAAGATGGAATGAATAGTGGCTCTCAAATTCTCGCATCAATGTCCATCTCACAAGTGGGCATCAACTGGAAAACTCGGAACCATCTATGCTTGGACCTAGCCGTCTTGCTCGGTTCAATCCCTTGAAGTGTCCTGTTACACAGAGGGACGCACCCCCACACGGCCATTTCCCTTCCGCCCTAAACCGGATAATGGGCCTCATGATCTCGGCATTGAAGCTTCGCTGTGCCAACCACCTTCACGTTTGTTCTGTTGCTTTCCTTGGGTGCTGGCCGTCTTAGGCCGAGTGGCTGAACCTACCGAAACTTAGGTTGACGACAGTTGAGGAAGGCTTTGGGCCACAAATTGACATGTTCAATAGGCCTAAGTGTCGGGGTCCTCACATGCAGCGCAATCGCCGGCAGTCTAAACCTAAGACCTCCAGCCTGAAACATCCAAAACAACCAAGAGCCTTGACACCAGCTGCATGACCTGAGCCAGGGCAAGGTCGCAGATGCGCCCGGAATTTGGACGGGATGTGGGAAAAGCCAGCACTGAAAGAAGCCCTTCACAGAAGCAATGTGAAAACCCATCCTCTGCTGTCGTAGCACTGCAACGACAGCGTTTATGATCGGCACAACTTCGAAGCATGACCTCGGTCTACAAAGAGAAGCAATGAGATGCATCAAAGCCACGGCTTCCGAGGTGATCCTTGGATGCACTTGCGCGGACCAAGATTGGAAGTGTGAACACAAGCCCGAGACCAGGCGCCGGGTTCAGCCCTGACCTCAAACCCCGAAGCAGCAAAGTGCTCCGCGAACCACCAAGAACCTACAAACCCATAACCTCCTAAACCCTGAAGCCCGAAAATCCTGAATCCAAAACCGCCAAACTCTGAATCACGAACCGGAAACGCCCTGAACCCTCAACACTACACCCTAACTAAGCCCTAAACCGCCTGCACCTCACAGGGGGGAAAGCATTTTGGCTATGCTCTGGAGTCATCGATGCCATCGGAGAAGCCCAAACCCCCTTCACCATAAATCCTTTTCGTAATAAACCCTGTGAAGCCCTTTTACACCTGGACTACGCATATGCCAGGAACTGAGGCGCCGACTGTGCTGTGGGCTCGTGCCACACGGGTGAAGCCCTAAACCCGATTCCCTCGCACGACGCCCTAAACCCTAAAATCCCTCAAAACCCCTACCCCCAAAGAGCCCTACCCAGAGCAAGGCTTCACGACAGGTTGGGGTAAAATTACAGCACATGCAGACATCAAATAGCATCAACCAAAGCATCACAGGACACTCATTCATCAGCATGGCCATGTTTATATCATGAACAACCAATAACAACTCTGTTGAAAGAAACCAGGCCGTAAAACCACCAAAGCCTCCCCGAAATCCCGAAGCCACGAGCCCAAATCCAAGTCCAAGGAGCCCCGCCGGCTTCGCCACCGCCAGAATCCCGGGAGCAGCACCGATGTAATGCACGCCTTGCTCTCACAACTCGGACTCTTCCAGACGAGGTCCTGTAAGGAATCCCCTGCGGGGTCTGTACGGCTTTGGGGCGTTTTTCCCCAGGGCGTAGCCTCGTGCCAGTGCTCTTTGTACAGCGCGGGCTCAGGCAGGGTGGGAGGGTGGGATTCTCGGTTACCGAACGAAATACAAACCTTCTCAACAGAAATGTGGCAACCGTCTGACTTAGTCAACCGCACTGCTTCGTGGTATGGCACGGTCATGCCTTGTCGAATCCTAAGCTGACGTGAACCAGCCGCTCCCATGCAAAGTCTATCAAGGCTTACTTCGCGACAACTGTCAAAGTGAGCTGACGGGAACAGCAGCTGCGAGTTCATCATCGCCAGGGCGAGGCAGCTAGTCGTGCAGATGGCACAAACTGGAACGCAAAGTCCCAGACCCCATACACGGATACTAACCCTAAACCTAAAACCGGTTCGCAGCTGGGACTGCCTGATGCCAGATAAGTTGCCAGAAACTGCTTTGCAGGTCCGACACTGCTGCTTGCAACGAAAACATGCAACATACCGAAACCCTAAACGCTAAATGCTAGACTTGAACGATCCCCGAACCGGCACTAAGCACTTCCGTAGGCGTGGCCTCCACCCAGCTCTTCCTCAGCTGCTCCACACTTTAGTTCCAAGCCGATGTGATTTGGTGTGAATGAACGCATTTTCGAATTTCAGCTTCACATGCCACCAAGTCTTCACTGCATGCTGAAGCATTCTGAAACGCGTGATGCGTGTTGGTGCTGTCCTCCTGGATCCTCCTGGCTAACTCCGGCTGGCTCCGGCCAGCTCAAGGCCAATGTCCACAGCCAGCAAGCCCAACCCAATCGCCGTCCGTGTTTTTTGGCTGCGTCCAAATGTACGACACCCGCACCACCCAACTAGGCTTCAAGTCGCCGTTTCTGCATTTGTTTCTGCCGCCTGCTCTCATCCATCATCCCACACTTGAAGCCCTTTGAAGGCCAAAGTGGCACGACTACTGTCACTACGAATGTTCGCTTTTGATCCTCATCTTTTGTCGCACCGGCTGGCCTTGTATCTAGCGCATGCAGCGGGTTGTGTTGTTCTGGCATCAGTCAACTTGTTGTACATAGCAAAGTACCTTGTCATGCCTCGCCGCTTATTGAATGTCGCATATGGTTAAGCCGACAAACATATGCCGGAAAAAGCGGGCTATAAATCTGTGTAGGTATGCACAACACTATCCATCAAGTATTGGCGGGCTGCGTGTTGCTGGGGCGTGTTTTGGGGGTCAGATTGGGTTGTGAGGTGGTCGTGGGTGCCGTTGGGGGGTCAGATTGGGGCGTTGGGGTTTGGTCAGATTGGATTGTGAGGTTGTCGCACCCGGATCAAATTCGTGGGTGCTGTTCGGGGTCAGATTGGGGCGTGGGCGGTCAGATTGGGGTTTGATTGGGTTGTGAGGTGGGTGGGGGGTCAGATTGGAGTTCGGGGGGGTCAGATTGCAGGGGCTGCGGGTTTCAACACCGTTTGGTGGGTCAGATTGGGGTTAGGGGGGTCGCTGAAGGATTTGGGGGGTCAGATTGGGGGTGGTTGGGGGGTCAGATTGGGGTGTGGGGGTGAGAGTGGACCAGTGAGGGGTGAGATTGGGCCTGAGGGGTCAGATTGGGGTAAAGTCCAGCCCCGGTCGCCTTTCCAGGTCTGCATACGATAGGAGACTCAAGGGAACTGACTCTGGAGTGAAATCCGAAACCGACATAGGAGTTGGAAGAACACCATAGGAGCAGACGCCAGAGACGAAGTTTCGTACGATCTTACTCGCCTCGCCTGCTTTCTCTGCGGCAAGTGCTCGTCAGCGGCCGGCGTCTTGCTGCGTCACAGGAAAAACAGGTCATCAAGGAGCAAGATGCCGGGGGGACCTCGTCCACGATGACGTCGACGTCCTTCTTGTCCACGTCCAGGCCCTGGAGGAGGTCGTCGCGCGAGACCTGAGCAGCAAGGAAGGACACTTCAGGCAGAACCTTGTCGCGCATGGGAGTGTGCAGACGTGCGGAGGCAACATCTCGGCACGCAAAGCATTCCCTTTTCTTCACAGCTCCACGCGCGGGCGCTTGTCCACAGGGAGGCTCGAGGCGTCTGCTTCGCGTTTGCGCTTCGGTCCAGGCTTGCCTTAAAATTACGCATGGGAAAGCAAGTCACATGAGGCTGCTGTCGCTCTCTGATGATCCACGTGGGATCGCTGACCGAAAAGGGTTAGTGGCACCCGATGTGTGCGGAGCCACTTCCGACACTCCTGGCTGAGATGCTACATGTGATACTTGCGGAGGTGCGTCTCTTGTCCTTCGCCTTGCAAGTCGCCGATGCAGAGATCACCCAGTCGCCGCCAGATGCTGTGTATGCGCTGCCAGGCAAAGCCTTGCACGTCCGCACTGCCCTTCTGAACGGCTCGCTTCAAAGCTAGGTCCGATCGGAAGAGATCGTCCAAAGTGATGGTCGATCCCGGGCAGCCTCTGATAATGCTGAGAAGCAGCGGCCGTAGATCCATGTTCCTCTTGCTCGAGGCCTTGCTGAAAGCCGTGCCAGACACCTCAAAACCCAATCTGACCCCTGTCACCGCAATTTTGACCCCCCACGCCCCAATCTGACATCCCAAGCCAATGACACCCCAAACCTCAATCAACCCAATCTGACCCCCCACCCAATCTGACCCCCCAAACCCCAATCTGACCCCCCCGCACCCACGACAACCTCAAAACCCAATCTGACCCCTTTCACCCCAATCTGACATCCCAAGCCAATGACACCCCAAACCTCAATCAACCCAATCTGACCCCCCAAACCCCAATCTGACCCCCCACCCCCGCAGCACCTACGACCATCTCAAAACCCAATCTGACCCCTTTCACAGCAATTTTGACCCCCCACGCCCCAATCTACATCCCAAGCCAATGACACCCCAAACCTCAATCAACCCAATCTGACCCCCCAAACCCCAATCTGACCCCCCACCCCCGCAGCACCCACGACCACCTCAAAACCCAATCTGACCCCTTTCACTGCAATTTTGACCCCCCACGCCCCAATCTGACATCCCAAGCCAATGACACCCCAAACCTCAAGCAACCCAATCTGACCCCCCACCCCCGCAGCACCCACGACCATCTCAAAACCCAATCTGACCCCTTTCACCGCAATTTTGACCCCCCACGCCCCAATCTGACATCCCAAGCCAAACCTCAACCAAATCTGACAACCGCAAACCCCAATCTGACCCCCGCAACACCCACGACCACCTCAAAACCCAATCTGACCCCTTTCACTGCAATTTTGACCCCCCACGCCCCAATCTGACATCCCAAGCCAATGACACCCCCAACCTCAATCAACCCAATCTGACCCCCCAAACCCCAATCTGACCTCCCACCCCCGCAGCACCCACGACCATCTCAAAACCCAATCTGACCCCTTTCACCGCAATTTTGACCCCCCACGCCCCAATCTGACATCCCAAGCCAATGACACCCCAAACCTCAATCAACCCAATCTGACCCCCCAAACCCCAATCTGACCCCCCACCCCCGCAGCACCCACGACCACCTCAAAACCCAATCTGACCCCTTTCACCGCAATTTTGACCCCCCACGCCCCAAACTGACATCCCAAGCCAACGACACTCAACCCAACCAAAAATTTTCACCCAATCTGACCCCCTCAAAACCCAATCTGACCCCATTCACCGCAATTTTGACCCCCCACGCCCCAATCTGACATCCCAAACCAATCACACCCCAAACCTCAATCAACCCAATGTGACCCCCCAAAACACAATCTGACCCCCCACCCCCGCAGCACCCACGACCACCTCAAAACCCAATCTGACCCCTTTCACCGCAATTTTGACCCCCCACGCCCCAATCTGACATCCCAAGCCAATGACACCCCAAACCTCAAGCAACCCAATCTGACCCCCCACCCCAGCAGCACCCACGACCATCTCAAAACCCAATCTGACCCCTTTCACCGCAATTTTGACCCCCCACGCCCCAATCTGACATCCCATCCAATGACACCCCAAACCTCAATCAACCCAATCTGACCCCCCAAACCCCAATCTGACCCCCCACCCCCGCAGCACCCACGACCACCTCAAAACCCAATCTGACATCTTTCACCACAATTTTGACCCCCCACGCCCTGACATCCCAAGCCAATGACACCCCAAACCTCAATCAACCCAATCTGACCCCCAAACCCCAATCTGACCCCCCACCCCGCAGCAGCGACGACCACCACAAAACCCAATCTGACCCCTTTCACCGCAATTTTGACCCCCCGCGCCCCAATCTGACATCCCAAGCCAACGACACCCCAAACCTCAATCAACCCAATCTGACCCCCCACCCAATCTGACCCCCCAAACCCCAATCTGACCCCCGACCCCTGCAGCACCCACGACCACCTCAAAACCCAATCTGACCCCCACGCCCCAATCTGACATCCCAAGCCAATGACACCCCAAACCTCAATCAACCCAATCTGACCCCCAAACCCCAATCTCACCCCCCACCCCCGCACCACCCACGACCACCTCAAAACCCCCTTTCACCGCAATTTTGACCCCCACGCCCCAATCTGACATTCAATCAACCGAATCTGACCCCCCAAACCTCAATCTGACCCCCCACCCCCGCAGCACCCACGACCACCTCAAAACCCAATCTGACATCTTTCACCGCAATTTCGACCCCCCCACGCCCCAATCTGACATCCCAAGCCAATGACACCCCAAACCTCAATCAACCCAATCTGACCCCCCAAACCCCAATCTGACCCCCCACCCCCCACAGCACCCACGACCACCTCAAAACCCAATCTGACCCCTTTCACCGCAATTTTGACCCCCCACGCCCCAATCTGACATCCCAAGCCAATGACACCCCAAACCTCAATCAACCCAATCTGACCCCCCTGACCCCCCACTTGGAACCCCCATCTGACCCCCCAAGCCCCCTCCAGCACCCACGACCACCTCAAAACCCAATCTGACCCCTTTCACTGCAATTTTGACCCCCCACGCCCCAATCTGACATCCCAAGCCAATGACACCCCAAACCTCAATCATCCCAATCTGACCCCCAAACCCCAATCTGACCCCCCACCCCGCAGCAGCCACGACCACCACAAAACCCAATCTGACCCCTTTCACCGCAATTTTGACCCCCCGCGCCCCAATCTGACATCCCAAGCCAACGACACCCCAAACCTCAATCAACCCAATCTGACCCCCCACCCAATCTGACCCCCCAAACCCCAATCTGACCCCCGACCCCCGCAGCACCCACGACCACCTCAAAACCCAATCTGACCCCCCACGCCCCAATCTGACATCCCAAGCCAATGACACCCCAAACCTCAATCAACCCAATCTGACCCCCAAACCCCAATCTCACCCCCCACCCCCGCACCACCCACGACCACCTCAAAACCCCCTTTCACCGCAATTTTGACCCCCACGCCCCAATCTGACATTCAATCAACCGAATCTGACCCCCCAAACCTCAATCTGACCCCCCACCCCCGCAGCACCCACGACCACCTCAAAACCCAATCTGACATCTTTCACCGCAATTTCGACCCCCCCACGCCCCAATCTGACATCCCAAGCCAATGACACCCCAAACCTCAATCAACCCAATCTGACCCCCCAAACCCCAATCTGACCCCCCACCCCCCACAGCACCCACGACCACCTCAAAACCCAATCTGACCCCTTTCACCGCAATTTTGACCCCCCACGCCCCAATCTGACATCCCAAGCCAATGACACCCCAAACCTCAATCAACCCAATCTGACCCCCCAAACCCCAATCTGACCCCCCACCCCCGCAGCACCCACGACCACCTCAAAACCCAATCTGACCCCTTTCACCGCAATTTTGACCCCCCACGCCCCAACCTGACACGCCCCAAACCCCAATCTGACCCCCCACCCCCCCGGCAGCACCCGCGACCACCTCAAAACCCAATCTGAGCCCTTTCACCGCAATTTTGATGACACCTCAATCAACCCAATCTGACCCCCCAAACTCCAATCTGACCCCCGACCCCCGCAGCACACGACCACCTCAAAACCCTATCTGACCCCTTTCACCGCAATTTTGACCCCCCACGCCCCAATCTGACATACCCAGCCAATGACACCCCAAACCTCAATCAACCCAATCTGACCCCCCAAACACCAATCTGACCCCCCACCCCCCAGCACCCACGTCCACCTCAAAACCCAATCTGACCCCTTTCACCGCAATTTTGACCCCCCACGCCCCAATCTGACATCCCAAGCCAATGACACCCCAAACCTCAATCAACCCAATCTGACCCCCCAAACCCCAATCTGACCCCCCACCCCCGCAGCACCCACGACCACCTCAAAACCCAATCTGACCCCTTTCACCGCAATTTTGACCCCCCACGCCCCAATCTGACATACCCAGCCAATGACACCCCAAACCTCAATCAACCCAATCTGACCCCCCAAACACCCCCAATCTGACCCCCCCCTGCATCACCCCCGACCACCTCAAAACCCATTCGACCCCCATTTCACCGCACCCCCTCTGGCAATCCCCCCCAAACCTCAATCAACCCATCTGAAACCCCCCATCAATCTGACCCCCAACCCCAATCTGACCCCTTTACCCCACCACCCACGCCCACCTCAAACCCAAGCTGCCCCTTCACTACATTTTTACCCCCCACGCCCCAATCTGACATCCCAAGCCAATCTGACACCCCAAAGCCAAACCTCAACCCAATCTGACCCCCAAACCCCAATCTGACCCCCCACCCCCTGCACCACCCCGACCACCTCACAAACCCAATCTGACCCCTTTCACCGCAATTTTGACCCCCCCCCCATCTGACATCCCAAGCCAATGACACCCCAAACCTCAATCAACCCAATCTGACCCCCCAAACCCCAATCTGACCCCCCACCCCCGCAGCACCCACGACCACCTCAAAACCCAATCTGACCCCTTTCACCGCAATTTTGACCCCCCACACCCCAATCTGACATCCCAAGTCAATGACACCCCAAACCTTAATCAACCCAATCTGTGGTGGGTGCTGTTGGGGGGTCAGATTGGGGTGTGGGGGTTTGGGGGGTCAGATCGGGTTGAGGTGGTCGTTGGGGGGTCAGAGTGGGGCGTGGAAGGGTTATCTAGATTGGGTTGGCTGTTGGGCGCGGGATTGAGTCAGATTGGGTTGTGAGGTGGTCGTGGTGCTGTTAGGGGGTCAAAGGGGTCAGATTTGGGTTTGGGGGGTCAGAGTCACATTGGAGGTTGGGGGTCAGATTGGGTTGTGAGGTGGTGATGGGTGCTGTTGGGGTCACTTGGGTGTGGCGTGGGGTGAGATTGGGTTGTGAGCGGGGTTGGGGGTTGTGAAGTGCTGTTGGGGTCAGATTGGGGTGTGGCGGGTGTGTGGGGGGTGTGGGGGGGGGGTTTCGACGCTCACTCTCGCGGGGGGTCAGATCGTGGCTGCTGTTAAGGGGGTCAGATTTGGGGTTTGGGGGGTCAGATTGGGTTGCGAGGTGGTCGTGGTGCTGTTGGGGGTCAGATTGGGGTTTGGGGGCTGTTGGAAGGTCAGATTGGGGCGTGGGGGGTCAGAGGTTGGGGGGGTCAGATTGGGTTGTGAGGTGGTGCTGTTGGGCGGTCAGATTGGGGTTTGGGGGCTGTTGGAAGGTCAGATTGGGGCGTGGGGGGTCAGAGGTTGGGGGGGTCAGATTGGGTTGTGAGGTGGTGCTGTTGGGCGGTCAGATTGGGGTTTGGGGGCTGTTGGAAGGTCAGATTGGGGCGTGGGGGGTCAGAGGTTGGGGGGGTCAGATTGGGTTGTGAGGTGGTGCTGTTGGGCGGTCAGATTGGGGCGTGGGGGGTCAGATTGGGGTTTGGGGTCAGATTGGGTTGTGAGGTGGTCGGGGGGTCAGATTGGGTTGTGGGTCGTGGGTGCTGTTGGGGGTCAGATTGGGTCAGATTGGTCGTGGATGCTGTTGAGGGTCAGATTGGGGCGTGGGGGATCAGATTGGGGCGTGGGGGGTCAGATTGGGGTTTGGAGGGTCAGATGGGGTTGTGAGGTGGTCGTGGGGCTTAGGGTTAAGAGGGTGTGGGCACACGGTGTGGGCCTTATGGTTTACCGGCTTAGTGTCTCGGGCAAATCACGCATGCGGTGCATGTCCTCCAGGCGCAGTATGCCTATCTCCCTGAGAAAGGCATATCAAAGCTCTGCTTTAGGCTAGCTTTCTTACATCAGACCTTTTGCAATCGCCTGAATGTTTGCTTGTGCATGGATCTTCAGCACTCACGAAAGTGTGCTCGTGCACGGATGTTCCGCTCTCTCGACTGCACTTCCATACCAGCACAGAAAACTTTGCCGCAACGATGCAAAGTTTGGGTCCCGGTTGCTCCGGACTCTGCCAGCTCCAGCTCCTCTGTGGTCCCCCAGCTGGTGCGGAGGCTCTCCGCTAGCTCCGAAGTGTCCTGGCAAGACGGAAAGGATTTATTTGGGGGTCCTTGCATGTGAAGACAGGGAATCGGGAAGGGTGGAAGGACAGGAGAGTGCCTCTATTTGTCCTCTTTCTTGACCCGTTGTCGGTTCTTCCGCCGCCCCTGATGACCTGTCCTCGATTGTAGCAAACGACGAGTCTCTAGCACTTTCCACTTGTTAATCCGGCTCCCACATCACGCGGAGTCCTTTATCGTAACTTTCTTGGGGCCTACAGGAGTTCGTGCAATTTGCTACCAACAGAGACCACTACTGTGCCGTATCGTATTCTGAACGCAACCATGATTATATCTCTGCGGCCCTGCTGCTCCAGATTCTGACAACGCCGCTTGGTACTGCTCTTGTCAGTCTTGTCATCTCCAGGCCCTTAACGCTACTTTCTTCGTGATCTTACGTCATGACAAGTAGGTGGCGACAGCTATGACTACTGCGATTGTCATCATGACTGCTATTGCAAACGGTACTGCCGAAACCGCAAAAAAACAATAACGACAGCTAGGCTCACCCAAGAGCAAGCACGGATGATTGCAATTCTGCGCAACATGCCATGTCTTGCCATTCCAATCTTGTACTGTCATGGCGACTTCCGGAATGTCTGTTTGTCATCATTGTCTGCCGCCATCACAGCTAGTACCCCCGGCATCATAAACCACGTCAGCATGATCCTCATCGGCCATTCCTGCTGGTTGCCGATATAGTGCTACAGCCAATACACTTCTTATTTCGGCTTACGCTCTGCTCGGCCATGAGAACTGGTCGCAACTCCCACGGTGACCGGCATAGCTTGACAAACGCTGTACAGTACCACATCCACTTTGTTACAACTCCGTGGCCATGGCGATGGAAATGATGGCATGGTACCGCAGTACCGGCAGCTTATGGCAACTTCTTGTATTTGATGTTCGACTCCGTACACACCTTCACCATGACATTGCTGATCTCTGCCAAAACCTTGCATAACCAGGCTTAGACGAAGAACACACAGTTCAGAGTACAAACAGGGACTACACCGAAAAAATGCACTCATTGCGTCAAAACACCAAGCTTCAGAACGCGTACCTGTTAGCCTTGGCACTGTTGTATTCATTCCTGCTCTTCTTCGGCTGTGCGAACTGTACCTTCCCAAGTCTGCTATGTCTGTCCCACAGCCACAGCCTGCCGCGCTCGAGCCATCGCACTGAGAATACCGCCCCACAGAATTCCTCGGCTACAGGCTGTTGCCATCACAGCTCCATCTAGCGATGGCGGGGGGCCGCAGAGCGAAAAAGCTTGCGATCTAGCTCGTTCAGGTATTTGCAAAGCGATGTTTTCGGTGTTCTTCCTTGTCGTCTTCCGGTCCACACGGGATTCATTGTAGACAAGACAAGAATGAGGCACAAAGCGCCACGGAGACGAGTGCATTCCAAGTTACCATTTGGAGTCTGCCCGTCAGGCGCCTGGCGCAGTAACGTAGTGACGTAGAGAGTTGAGACTTCGGAGCTCATCCACCAAAACCAGACCAGATGGAATCATACAATGTCGGGGCATCAAAACATCAGCCTATCCAAACACAAGGCTGATAGAGCTTTTTGCGCCCGTGTTGCATGTCACTGTGCTTTGCGGAGGGGATGCAGCAATGAAGCAAGCCGGGCACTGAGAAAAAGGTCACAACCTGTATCGCAAAGCATACCTGATTACCGACAGTTACCAGATGTTACGAAACAGTCTCAACAGAGCCGACCCAGCCTCCTCACGAAGTGCCAAGGCCATGGACAGGGCCTGCTCGACTAAGTTCATTGCGCTGCAATGAGGAAAGCGGTCGTCTTGCTACAGTAGGTGTGGCTTCAGTTATTCGTGTGCACTCGTTGCAGAGGCAACCCCGGGTAGTTTGCTGTTATCAGTTTGCACCCACCATGAACTGAACACCCACAAGCGTTGCAAAATACATCAAGAACTAGAACTCAAAACCTTTCACCTTCTTGTACATCTTTGGTGCAAGCAGTGGCCTCCGACCTGTTTTTTGGATTTCATGTTGGGAGTTGGGGGCGTCAACCTGCAACCAGGTCCAAGGCCGAGCCTTAGACCAGCTCAACGCACTTGCGCACGCCGCAATCATGGTGCTGCGGCTCACGAAATCCTCGGAGAGGCTATAACTGGAGGTTCCCGCGTTGACACTGCCGGCAGCTCATGCTCCGGCGATTTATTCTGACTGACGCAGCTCTCACAACCACACCGCAACCTCAGCGAAGACGCGGGCACGAGCTGCATGGCTGGCATGCTGGCCAGAAGGGCCTCGGATCCCATGCGGGCATTGGCATAATTACACTTGTGGCCCACTTAACTCGTGGTGAATGCCTGTCAGCTCGACGGTACTGCTACATCCAGAAGAAGACAGCTTACGATAATTACTGAACTCCTTCAAGTATAAGCAGCACCTCTCAAACGCGAGAAAGTTTGAACATTTTGAACATGCATCGTGCACAAGAGAGCGTCCAACTCAGCAACTCACATGTGACCTTCTTGACAATGCCTGGAAACCGTCTAAACAGCCCGACCCGTACCATCCCCAGCCAGCATCAATCAACCCCTTTGCACAGAAACCAAGGAACTAAGGCCTGATCCCAGCGCAAGGCTCGGCCGCAGGCGGAGGTCGCGGAGCTAAAGCCTTGTTCTCTTTGCTTTGGTGCTTCGTCCGTGCCTTTCGCAAATACAAATGCATATACATATACATGTATGTATGGATGTAGGAATGTATGCATGTGTAAGTGCCTGTAACCCACAATCGTGCGATGTCTCGTCTCTATAGACTGTAGAACTCTATGTATGCAGACACACACACACTGTCAACACAGGCAGGAGCACACAAACTGACTTTTCAGGAAAACCGATTTCCGAAGCCACGGCACAAACACGATCTGGAAGCGCCTTGCCTGCACAAGATGCAATTCCGTGCAGTAACATGCATGGAGATCTCATGCACTCTCACCAGTATACAACGAATTCAATACTAAACAAGGTCCTCCCTGCTGCAGCTTTGAGGCACAACTGGGTGGGCCCAGCATGAACCATGGTGCGGTACACTTTGTGTAGTCGAGGGGTCTAAATCCACTGGCACCAAACCCGAGACGACAAATGCGGAACAAAACGGGGCCCCCAAACAAACGGGCTGCGTCTGGCCATGAGCTTCAGCAAGTCCAGGCTTTGCTGCCACCTCACTTTGATTTGAGGGTTTCGGCGCTCGCACTCGGACAATCGAGGCGAGGCATATGGTTCGAGGTCTGTTGAGTGAAACAACAACTACATGGGCTGGAAAGTTGTGTGGCAACAGCACCAAAGCAACTTGTAAGAACCCAGGGTTGTAGGGCTTAGGGTGGGCCATCACATGTGAATGGGCATCTCTGCGCCGGATGTTGGTCTGCGGAAGGTGTTTGTTGAAGCGCTGGTACGGATGTTCCCGTCTTGCATGCTTACAAGGAACAACCCAGTTCGTATCTGAGGTACGTCTGTCCCCGGTTGTGCAGAGGTAGACAAGTAAATAGAGGCACTTTTTCAGCTAGCTCAGACTTCCTATCTATAGTAGACTTAGTAGACCATACACACGCCTCAGGAGAAAGCTCAAACATGATAGAGACAGCAACAAGTCTGCAGCAGATTTCACAGTCTGAACAAGTTCTTGGTAGACCGCTTTCACGCTCGAAGATGGGTTTGCACAGGCTTCATTTGCATGAAGCATTTCAGCATCAGGTAATGTATATATCAATTTGCCACTGCAGGCTCTGAAAGCCCGCCCAAACTAACAAACGTCACGGTGAACACAGCAGTGGGCTTAAGTGGCTCCTGTCTTGCTACAAAGCCCCTCAAATTTCGGGTCCAAACTCTCAGCTGCTGACGAAGATACTGACTGCCTTTGTCGCATGCACTTATTGCAGCTCCGTAGGTCACCACATTTGGAGCAACCTTCGCCTGCCATCAGGCTTCGGGACATAGAAACTCAATTTCCGGTTACGGCATCATGTCTTTTTCACCGCAGGCTCTGAAAAGAAGTCGGAAGAAATGCGTAACCGTCGCACGGCTTCGAAACATGCTTGGACACAAGGAAATGTGTCAGGCTGACACGAGAGCTTAGTGACAACTGCAAGTCCAACCAAATGCGCACACATGTGTAGGACAGACACATCCACGGAATAGACAGACAGATGGATAGACACGTAAAGAGATAGATAGATGGATGGATAGGTACATAGATGGATGTAAAGACATTAAATGACACACAAGCAGACAGATAGGCATATAGACAGAAAGATAGATGGATAGATAGATAGGTACATAGATCCAGGGATAGATGGATGGATGGGTAGATAGATACAGATAGAGGATAGATAGACGCGTGGAAAGCACGTATGTACGTGCGTTACATGGATAAACACATAACGACATGCACATGGAATCACACGTGTACCGTGTGCATGGCAGGCATGCATGAATACACAGTGCCACATGCGCACTATCGAGCTGCTTCCGGCTAGGCCTTTGGCATGCCATATAGAAGCACCAGGGACCTCCTCGCAATTCGACACCAAGTTGCAAATGTCCTACTTCTCAGCTCAACTCAAGACAACCCGAACCATCAACTGCAGTGTAGGACTGATGAAGAGCTTCAACACCAGGCATTGGCCCCAATCACTAGAACAGAACCACACAGACCATGCACCCAGCAACTTTCAGGATCTTCAATCCAAGGTAGTTCAAGGGGGGAGAGCACTACGGATGCCAGAGAACCTTAGGGTTCCTAAGAAAGTACTGGCAAAGCATTAGGTTCAAAGCACGAGTCGCTTCTCTCTCCACATTCATCGAGTCCCGTTCAAGGGGATCCGCTCTTCTCAACTTCTCTGCTTCCTTCGAGCACCTAGTTACTTCTCAGATTGCAAAGTCCTGTGCCGGGTGCTCTGATCTGGTTCTGAATATTGCCTGGTCCTTGATCGCACATTCTGCCTCAAATGCATCCCCTTGCGCACGGTCCGTTCATCGTTCTCAA